CCCAAAACCCCAAAACCCCAAAACCCCAAAACCCCAAAACCCCAAAACCCCTTTGGAAGTTTATGAAAATTATAATGAATTTAAAATAAGAAATTATTAAAATCAATTGAGCTTCCGTGAGATAGGCTTTTTATAATAAGTAGGAGTTTTACTCCTTGTTGTTTGAGCATTCTTATTCAGCAAAATGGTGCAAAATTTCTTTTTGCCAAGATCAACATAGACATAATCAACTTTGCTTTCAATGAAAGTTACTGTTGCTAATTCTTATGATTAATTTGACCCCAAAATAACTTAATTAGTGGGATCTATCGTGATTCTATTAATTTCCCTATCGAAGATTCGCACTTGATAGAGTTTGGACATATCAATTGAACTAAACGCTAAAAGAGTTCCGTTTTCCATTCCAACTAAAACGTGGCCATTATCATAAGGTCCGTAATTTAGACTAGTTATACGATACTAACTTTTAAATGCCTTAATTATAGACTACTGCTTATTAGTTCTATTAAGCATGAGCACATAAGAGTTATTCTTTTCATATTTTAGTAATGAGCTTGTATACAATCCAGCCAATAATATCTTTGTTGGAATCTGCTTGTAAGTTAGCTAAACAAAATCAAAATAGCGGTCTGACCAGTCTAATCTGCACATTTATGTATAATCGATAGACATCACTCGAAGATCGCTGAGCAAAAATAGCTACTCAATATCAATCCTGTCCATACATATTCCATTTTTACTGTATAAATCTACGTTAAAGTTATTCTCATATGACAATATCAGATAATCTCCATAGTTCAATATATTTTTTATTATCATTTAAGTCTATATTCTCTAAGAGTTTGTACTCCGTTAGTGAACAAGAGCAAGATTTGCATTTTCATAAGGATTAAGTTCATGAATTCTAACTTTAATCAACTCATCGAGGTTCAATTGACTTCTATCGCCTTGTTCAATGCCTTAATCATTCAAAAGTTCAAGATCTCGAAAGAGATACTGCCTTAAAGATAAATCAATACTGTCCACTACATATAGAGATTTTCCATTGTAAGAACAAGTTTTATACTTGCAATATAGCAAATGTGTATTTTCAAGTTTCAGCAGCTTAAAGCAAACTACTTTGTATTTGTTCAACTTCATCGGGGCATCTATATCCAATTCTTCTAGATTATTGTCACTAGGAAATGCCGAGCTATCTTACACATCTCCTCCATTTTATGGACTCTAGATAGATATAATTTTCCTTTAATTTTCAAATCTTCCCTTGACTATTGCTCTATGTTTTATGCTTATTTGGTCGCCATTCTGTAGAGTAACTTGATAATTCTCATAACCAGTATAAGATGCATCTAGCAAGTTTTAAGCCAAATTTTACTTAATTTCATTTACTAGTTTCTCCTTTAAATCCAGAGAACTTGATTCTTCAATAAGATTGTTTTATTATAGATCTTCGCATTCTCTCTATTACTATAACAATAACTATTGATCTGGGTTTAAATTCTTTGCCAATTTAAGAGCCTTAAAATAGGTTCTATCTTTTTGACGGTTATATGTTACAATCAAAATAAGCTTAGGGTTGAAGTCATCGAAGAAAGTGGCGTATTAAATTTATTCATCAATTTTATAGATTTCATACTCAGCGATGTCATAAGGCATCTGAGATTGCTGATCGAATCCAATTACTTTAACTCTCTATGAATCAGCCACTAGGATCCTCTTCTTATCGAACTCGTATTTGTTTCTAAAACCTATCTTGCGTCTCTGAGAGAAGCCTAAGTGCTAAATATCTACATCTGTTTTCACTTTAAATACTATTTTCCCCTAATTTGTATCGTTATTCATTTATGCTCTTTTTATTGCACTAATTATTGCTGGACTCTTGCTTCTAGTATAATTGTTCTTTTCCACTTCAAATTCAGGTTCATAAAATTGTGCTTGTGGATGATTGATCATTTGTCTTCTATTTCTAGATTAATATCTACTTGGTTAGTCGAATGGTTCCTGGCTTTAAACAGTGCAGCACATTTAATTTCCCATCTTCGTGAATTTGTTAAGAAAATTACTCTTATTAGTTTAAATGAATAATAATTATAACAAATTTAATCATGAAATAATTCAGATAGCCTAATAACTATTAATCAGAATAAGCAAATATTCGCCAATACAACTCTAATCTATACGATCATGACATTGATGATGATGAACTAGGTTACAGTGGCAACTTAAATTAGAATCATTTGAGCAATAAAAACAAAGGAGAAAGCACTGATCAAAAGAGTAAGTTTTCTCTAAGCTCTCATTATGACTGATTGCTCATCAAAATTTAAACACCCTAACCCAATCAATCCTAGGATTTAATTGACTAATAGAAAGATTATGTTAAAAATTAGATAGATAATATAAATTCATACGCAAAAACCCCTGATTACTTGCTGAATTGACCTTCACCAGATAAAAATTAAGAAGTCCCAAGTGTTTTTGACTACAAAAAGCATTCAGAAGATTTAATTGAGAAAGCGAAACTAGAAGTAATTTAGGATGTTAAAAACGAAATAAAAAAGATACTTGAGAATAAGAATAATTTCTATTAGATATTGAGTCAGAAAATGAATAATAAGTAAATGGGAGAGCATGAATATGAATAGTATGCTGACAAACATACATTTCAAAGTGACTACGAAAGTTAGAAGTAAAAATTGGGGCAAGATAAAAACATTACCCGCAATCACAATCGCTTCAGTAAGGCTTTATCTGAATAGAGATAAAGAAAAATAATAGACTACTAGGATGATTAAAAGAACAATGAATTATCTTTGCCAGCAAATAATCCTCATTTACTAATCTAACCTTACTAGAATTAAATGTTAAATCAAAATTTCGATAAAAAGCCTATTAAAACTAATACTGAAAGATTGCCAGGTCTTCTTTATTAGTAGCTTGAAAAAACAGTCGATTACTATGATAAGTAACTTGACTAAGAGAGATTTCTTATAAATTATGGCGGGGGTAGTTTAGTTCGGGGATAGGTAGGTGTAGGAGATACGCTTAAAAAGTATGATCATATTATCAGAAATAAGCGTTACGATAAAATGATGCAGAGCTCAGAGATTGAAGAAATGGAAAAAATGTCTGATATTAGTAAAGATAATCCATATAACATAATTAACTTTAGCCCTTAAAATCCAGAGGCTAATCCTAAAGTATACAATCAAGCCCACTAAAATTACAGTAATAATCTCACAAGAAACCCTTAGTCCTATTAAATCAATAAAATGAATAATTAAAATAAAAAAATATTTGATGTTCCTTAGAAGCAATTCAAAATAAATTCAAATAATAACACATTCTAAAATCTGGCTAAAGAAGTAATTAGCTTGCAAAAAGGAGAGGTTGAATAAAAGCGTTTAAATAACTATAATATCTCAGTCGCACCTAACATTAATAATAAAGCTTTGATTTTTGTTAAAAAGAGTAGAGATCTAAGTGTTGACTAATCGAAACAGAGGTCCTAATACAACAATAAGATAGATGTTAGAAGTCTTAAAAACTATTGAATTTCTTAATAGATAGATAATTTTCACTTAATTTGATAATACTTATTTTCTAGTGATTGATGATCTACTTTGTATCGTGGGGTTTTGGGGTTTTGGGGTTTTGGGG